GGATGCTGGTGTATTCTTCTGTGTATATGCTTAATTAATAAAGAAAAATGTTATTTATCTTGATTTCTATGTATACCCGAAAGCCAAAGCTAATACTAGTAGACAAGAAAGGTTACAACGGAAAATAGTAGAATAAAAGTTTAGCAAAAARAAAAAAAAAAGATAGTAGAAGAAAATAACTAATTCCAAGATACTTGAATTTGTGACAAATGACAAGAATATAAATTTTATTTTGGCAAATTCTTATGGCATCATTTTACAATATAAACATATGTATTGCTGAATAGCAGAAAATCTTGAAGACAAAATGTTTTGGAATAAGAAGTTGATATATATGATTTTACTAAAAAAGCTGACATATGTTAGATTCGGAGATATAAGAAGGTCAAAGTGATTTGATTGAAGAGACTGGCATAATTTGGCTCAAAAGTATTACGAATATCTATCTTTAGAGAAGTTGTCTAATTAATCTTAAGGATACAGAGAAAATTAGCTTAACCTCTATATAAGAATGACACACAAATCGAAAACTTATACAATTTTTTTTGTTGGCAAGATAAAAAATCACAAAATGGTGGAATTTTTGTTTTGTTTTTGATGTAATGTCGCGAGCTTTTTTTGTTATTTATCATTAAACTCAAGGAGTAATAGAAATGGAAATAAATCCAAATTGTAAAATAAAATCTCAAATGTATAGCTAATCGATATTAAGATTATTAAAACGTGAAACTTATAACCACATTGAGCCGTTTTGAGAATTTAAACTTGACAGAGTTTGAATTCTAGGAACAAACTTATATAAACATTTTAATTTTACCGTAACGAGGTTTTAAATGGTGATAATAGATTGAGACATATATAGTTTTTGTTACAAATGGTGATAATAGATTGAAACATTATTATAGTTCTTGACTTGATCTCAAACTCACACGATCTCCAAGACTCCAGCCATTCCATATTTTAATTTTATCTAACTCTTACCATTCTATCACATAGATTAGATCTTATTCTGCAAAAGAATCTTAATCTTATATCTAAGATAGCATTGTCTGATCACACCAGCTAGCTTTAACATATCTGTATAGATTAAGATTGAATCTTTAAAAAACTATTAATAATAATCTGAAGATTCAGATGCATTATAGGTAAGCACGCGGAATTAATTACAACATGCACGAACCCTAATCCGAGACAGTTTTTCCATTAACCTTCTCGAATCTATTAAAAAATTATTTAATCAATTGTCCTTGAAACAATTATACATCAAACTAGTGCGACACACAACCTTCGTGAATAATCAAACTACTAACTCTTTTTAATAACAATATTTATCGTTTACAGCGATGCTTGTTAGTTGTTATTAT